CTTCTTCCTCTTCTTCATCATCATCATCATCATCATCCTCTTCTTCTTCATCATCATCCTCTTCTTCTTCTTCGTCGTCATCCTCTTCTTCTTCTTCATCGTCATCCTCTTCTTCTTCTTCTTCGTCATCATCATCCTTCTTCTTCTTCTTCTTCATCATCCTTATTCTTCTTCTTCATCATCCTTATTCTTCTTCTTCATCATCCTTCTTCTTCTTCATCATCATCATCATCATCATCCTTCTTCTTCTTCTTCTTCATCGTCATCCTCTTCTTCTTCCTCTTCCTCTTATTTTCTTCTTTTTGTCTTCCTCTTGCAGGTCACTGCTCATGCGCAGATTTTTTTTATCGGTAAAAAATCGACCGATTTTGCCCGATTTGCCCATCATTGCCACGAAAATCGGCCGATCTTTTTTTCAACTTTACCGATAAAAAAAAATCTGCCAAAATACCGAAAAACGGCCGAACAAATAGCCCACTAACGATCCGAAAATCGGTCGATTTTTGACCCATCTATGGCCTGCATTAGTCTCTAGGGTTCAATATTGATTTGGCCCACCCTTTGCAGATCTAACAGCTTCAACTCTTCTGGGAAGGCTGTCCACAAGGTTTAGGAGTGTGTCTATGGAAAAGTTTGACCATTCTTCCAGAAGAGCATTTGTGAGGTCAGGCATTGATGTCGGATGAGAAGGCCTCACTCACAGTCTCCACTCTAATTCATCCCAAAGGTGTTCTTTTTGGTTGAGGTTGGCCCAGTCAAGTTCTTCCACCTCAAACTCACTCATCAATGGTTTTATGGACCTTGCTTTGTGCACTCGTGCGCAGTCATGTTGAAACAGGAAGGGCTATCCCCAAACTGTTCCCACGAAGTTGGGAGCATGAAATTGTCCAAAATGTCTCGGTATGCTGACACCTTAAAGAGTTCCCTTCACTGGAACTAAGGGGCCAAGCCCAACCCCTGGAAAACAACCCCACACCATAACCCCCCAAACTTTACACTTGGCACAACGCAGTCAGGCAAATACTGCTCTCCTGGAAAATGCCAAACTCAGACACATCTATTGGATTGCCAGACAGAATAGCGTGATTGGTCACTCCAGAGAACACGCCTCCACTGCTCTAGAGTCCTTGCTTTACACCACTGCATCCATGCTTTGCATTGCACTTGGTGATATAAGGTTTGGATACAGCTGCTTGGCCATGGAAACCCATGAAGCTCTCCACGCACTGCCGTTGTGCTAATCTGAAGGCCACACACAGTTTTGCGGTCTTTAGCTATTGACTCTGCAGACAGCTAGCAACGTCTGCGCACTCTGTGGTTCAGTATGCGATTACCCCTCTCTGTCATTTTACATGGCCTACCGCTTAGTGGGATTATAACCAAGTGGAAGCAACTGGGAACAACAGCAACTCAGCTACAAACAGTTGACCATGGAATATTTAGTAGCAAGGAAATGTCACGGATGGACTTATTGCATAGGTGACCACCTATCACATTACCATGCTTGAATTCACAGAGCTCCTGAGAGTGACCCATTCTTTCACATATGTTTGTAGAAGCAGTCTGAATGCCTAGGTGCTTGATTTTATACACCTGTGGCCATGGAGGTGATTGAAACACCTGAATCCAATGATTTGGAGGGGTTTCCTAATACTTTTGGCAATATAGTGAATAAAAAAAAAATATATAATTTTTTTTTCTTTTTTTTTTTACTGTAGTCTCAAATATGTTGCATACCATGTGAATATAGATACACAAGGCCGATATTTGTCAGCCATCATGAAAATTAGAAACATTGCAGATTCAGTCAGTTTTTTCTAGAAAAAAAATGATGTTCATTTTATTTAAACAAGCACAAGTAAACTAGCACCGTGTCCTGATTACCTATATCTTCCCTTTCAGCAGTCAGTAAAACTAGCCCTGTCTAAAACTGCAGCCTTTTTTGTATGGCAGCAACCAGGTCAATATCCTCGAGCCACACAAATAGGTGAGGAATAGTGATAAGAATTAATGAGAGCCACTGCAGTGTAACACTGCATTGTACTGAGTATGATGATGAATGAGAATGAGAAGCACTGTAACTACGCAAAAAGCTCTGAGCAGCATGAAGATGTTCATTTTTAGGTAGAAACAGAAAATGTAAAACAACTGTTCCAGCAAAGGTTTACATGGGAATTGCACCTGATGTCTTCATATCTTCGGACTGGTTGTGGGAAAATCAAGGTGGGAAGGCATGCAAGTCAGCTGTGAAATAACAATTTGGGCCCCTCCAGCTGGAAAAAAAACTCTCATCGAGGTGCAAAGCTAATGTGTCTACTTTTATCCAGTACCAGTGAAAGAGCAAATATTGTACTGTAGACAAATATAGAAAGCAAATGTTGGATTGCCTTAATGGAGACAGCCATCGTGTGCAAACAGATTCAGACAGAGTAGCATTCTGCATTATGACAAGCACAAGCAGAAATTCATACAAAGCAGAAAAAACCAAAATCACAATGCGTAAGCAGAGGCTATTTTGAGGATAAGCCAAAAGTAGATGGAGTCAGATGATGAGAACAAACAGCATTGTAATGGGTGTACAAATCTGAGCACGCAAAAATCAGTCTACAGTTTAGGAAACAGACAATGCTGATCAGGCAGTGACTTAAAATCCAAATTCGGTTTAATACTGATTGAATGCACTACTTCTTGAGGCCAAGTGGGCATTGTAACCATGCCACTGTGCTGAATATTGTCTAAGCGTTCCACTCAAATGTAAAAGAAGGTAGGTAAACAAGCCTCCTTGGTCTGCAAGAGATGTGCAGCAGTTTGTTGAAAGTTTCATTAGCATGGAGGAGCCAATCTAAAGGCACCCCAGTAAAAACATGATACAACATTTTTTGGAGTGTAATGGAAAAATTTGTATTTTTGTAAATAGTTGGTCTGATCTGTGTCATGTATGTATCAAAATATCTACTACTAGCCAATCTGATACAGAGAAGTATTATATATAATGCCGGAAACATAGCTAAGCTATAGTACCAGAACCATCTTCCCCTTCTTTCCAACATTAATGTTATGTGCCTTGTCATTTTCCAGTTCTTCCTAAGCAGTATATCATTGTACAATTTCATGAGACCATGTTGATTTACTAAAGGCAAATAGAGTGTGCACTTTGCAAATTGCACTCCTCGCGTGCACAGTTGCTCCAGAGCTTAGTAAATGAAGTAAAACTTACCTTTGCCAATCACACGCAAGGAAAATAAAAAAAAAATGTGTGTTTGCTTGCACATGATTGGGTGATGGAAGTCAGCAGAGCTTCTGCTCATTTACTAAGTTCTGGAGAAACTGCACTTTCAGAGTGCTATTGCACTTTGCAAAGCGCACAGTCTGATTACCTTTACCCCAGTGAAGGGTGCTTTTGTCCTTCTCTTTACCTTGCTGTATTAAGTCCTCATGCTCCAATAAAAATATTTTTCTACTGCTGCTGCCCCTGCTGATTAATTCAGTTGCCTTTGTGAAAGTGCCTTAGTAGGCAACAGGTATTTTGCTACTGCCTGTACTCAAAGAAGCAAACACTCTCATCTTGTACTCACAGTACTTTGCATAGCTCTTGACTTGTCTTGCTCATAGAGGTAGTCAAACACCTGCAAAGTACATAACCCTGAGTTGGAATGTTTCAGTTCAACTTTTATATTGGAATACCATTTTGTCTTTCTAAGATCTGCTAAACTGGATGCAAAGGACCTACCTCAACTTTCAACATATGCCAAAAAAAAGTTGTATGCAAACAAAGTAGTTCAAAAGCATCTCAAAAACAGCTCTGGAGCAGTTTAAAAACAACTCAAAAGCAACCCATGTACAAAATACTGTATCTCCCTCAAGGCATGCACCAGATTTTCTTGTGAGTCAGAAGTCCTTATACACTAGCTCTTTAACTTGTAGTAGAAAAGTGAGGTTTGGTGAAAAATATAAAAAAACAGTAGAAAAATGTTTTATTCTGTGTAACCAAGTTGAAATAATATTAGACTTCTGCTTCAAGTATAATGGATTAATAAGAGCAGGAAATACTGTTAGCATTCGTAATGTACAAAAACTCAACCTTTATTTTATGGTGAACTGTTAAAGGAGATTAGAATAATTGTACTTTGTTTCTTTGTCTTGTAGAATGGTGCTTGTTGCATTTGTTTGAAAGTGACACTAAAGTAAAAGTATATTTTTTTTGTATACTGTGAAATTAAAAATGACTCTGAAACAGCACATTGAGATAATGCATGGTGGGTTCTTGCAGTCCACCCTGCCACCACGCAGCAAATTAAAAAAAAATGTTTACAGCAAGATTAGACTGTAGCTAATTTGAGAGTTTAATAATTTTAAAGCACAAAGAACAACTACAACTCTATTCCAAATTTCTGACCTGTATGCCTATCATTTCCGGTATCCGTTTTGTCCAAACTCCCAAGCCTAAATTAAACCCTCCAAAATACCTACTTTATCATTGTGTGACAATACTAAACCACCCTAACCCACATAAATAAATTTAGGACTAGCAACAACTTTGTGACAGCTAGGGTTAACAATTAATTGAAAATAGCAAATAATAATTATAAATCAATTATATACCAAAAATGGGTTAAAATACAAATATCATTGTTGGATTGCTAATATCTGATGATGATAGAGAGAAAGCAATGTGAGTAGTTATATAGGCTATGAGCAACACTCAGAAATATGATAAAACAAAAATATAACTGTGTTTGGCCAGCTTGTAGCAAAGTGTTATACCCCATTGTAATTCCTTGGGAGAATTTTTCTTCACTGCTCCCAGGTGCCACTAGATGTATCAATATAAAATAGGTAGGTAATGTGAGCGCACTAAAAAGTAATAAAAGCAGCTATGCACAAAGGTAACCAACATAAACCTTGATAGAATCAATATAAAAGTAGTGCAACGCTAAACGGTCAATCATATAAATCTGATAAATAAGTTCATCCAAGTGTGGCTTTATGAGCAAGTGAGCATGCGCATAGAAGGTTGCATCATTGGATTTGATGAATATATGAACTTGTTGTTAGATGATGCAGAAGAAATTCATCTAAAAACGAAATCTCGGAAACAACTTGACACCTTGCCATTGGACAAGATCCATCTTTATATCCAGAGAGGGAACCTCTTATCCAAGGAGCAGCACCCGCTTAATCCCTTAAGGGGAACTCTGGTTGATGTGGATCATCATTTAAAGCCCCAATACCCTTTGATGACCATCCACCCCTTAGAGGGAAGTTACCTATTACCTGGCTTGCCCTGATACATTCTGGAGTTATATTTACTTTTAATTTGCGCGTCCGGTGAGTGCGCATTTCTTGCACAACTACTGCACAGACACCAAGCTTATCAAGAAAGCAGGCACCTAAAGTGCACTAGAGTCACTTTTGAACTGTTTACCAATCTATGAACTTTTGCTTGGATATATTTATATATTTATTTATCAGATTTATATGATTGACCGTTTAGCGTTGCACCACTGTTATATTGTTTATAGATGTATCAATATGTTCACAATTTATTTAGGAACTTTTCTAAGGGAAGTCCAGTGTAGAACTAACATGTCCTCTGCTGTCGGCTATGGGTTCCTTTATGGAGGGATTTGTGTTGCAAATGAACACTGAACTCTCACAAAATTTAAGGAGCCATTTTGGCACTAAAATGGTGAATAAAATTGTACTCTGTGTTGCAGCAAGGATTTCTGGATGAGAAAGCACAGGGGACACCACCATCAAGTAAATGTGAGTGCTTAGCCCAAATGGCATGGAGAGTAGAAAAGGTTTTCAATGCCATTGTGGCCTCTGGTTTCGATTGAGGTGGTTTGGCCTGCCAATGGGTCACCACCACTGTGGTGTGGGTTGTATGTATACTTTTCTCCTGAAACGTACTGTAAACCTTGTGCCCTACAGTTTCTAGACCCTCGGTGTTAGACTAGGAACCTGGGGCATTGCCTGGAGCTACCAGTGCAAAGGAAGGCTCTGTAGAAGTGAGCCCAGAATTAGGTGACTTGGTTTCTGACCTCTTTTCATTGCCTGATAAGAACGCCTTTCAAATGGAACTGGTTTAACAACCTTGAAAGAAAGGTAACATGCTAAAACTTTGACATATCCCAATTACTAGGGGGAGCTGCCTGTAAATATTTTACATAGTCAAGATTAAAAAACATTTTGTCCTCTGGTACCTTTGAAAACCATTTGTTTTACACCCCCACATGTATACAGGCATTGAAGATAGCGTCATTGAAAAAAATACAAATTTCAGATTGCATGGAAATGTAATACAGGTACTCCTCGCTTAACGACCGAGTTCCGTTTCAACGACTTGGTCGTTAAGCGAATTGGTCATTAAGTGAGGAACTGCATGTACTGTATACAGTAGTACAATATATGCATAGTATTTGACAATACAGTATTCTGAATAAGTAAAATAACAGGAAGGATCAAACTGAAAACTTCCACTTGTTTTAATTTGCATAGGTTGTGTAATTTACACACAGTACTGCAATGTATTACAGTACAGTAGTACAATACAGTATATGCATAGTATTTGACAATACAGTATTTCTGAATAAGTAAAATAACAAGAAAGATCAAACTGAAAACTTCCACTTGTCTTAATTTGCATAGGTTGTGTAATTTACACACAGTACTGGAATGTTGTATTACAGAACATAAAGTTAGCAAAGTACAGTAGGTACATTAAAGCACCAAAAACCACAGTACTGTACTGTAGAGTGTACAAGAAGGAAAAAGGATATTTAAAATACAGTAAACAAAAAAAACAAACAAAAAAAAAAAAAAATTTCAGGCTATCATTTTAGTCAACGAATCCTTCAAAATCTTCATCTGTGTCATCATCAGAGCTATTATCAGGAGCTGCTGAAGGCCCAGGTAAGGGACACGATGGAGTAGAAATTGAAGCATTGGTAGTGCTTGGTGTAACTTTCCAAAAGTATCCACTAAGAGTGGTCTGCTTTGTCATTTTCTTTTTTTCTTCATATATTTCACGATAGCACTGTAAAACTTGACTTATTTGTCTTTCCACCTTTGTGAATCGTTCAACATTCGGATCCATACTCTCTAGTTGGAACATAGCTGCATTCACTTTTGAGAACACACCAGCTAATCCCTTCACAGTAAACTTCTTTGGTACTTCTTCCATGTTTTCATTTTCTTCTTCCTCCTCCGCCAGGTTCTGCTGTGCTTCCAACTCTATTAAATCTTCGGTAGTTAGCTCTCCCTCCCTGTATTGCACTAATTCCTCAATATCTTCCACCTCAACTTCTAAATTAAGCACTTTAGCAAGTTTCATAGTTGTTTTATTTATGGCATCAACATGTTCATCTTTCTCAAAAACTGCAACATTGTTCACAAAACATTTTAGGCATTTTTTCCATATGCCTTGCATACACTTTTCTGTCACTCCCTTCCAAGCGGATTCAATGTTGTTTATGCAGTCTAAAATGTTGTAAGATCTCCAGAAATCACGGAGAGTTACTTCATCATTTTCTGTTGCTGCTACAGCTTTGGAAAAAGTTGTGCGTAAATAGTATGCTTTAAATGTGACTATGGCCCCCTGGTCCATTGGCTGAAGGATTGAAGTTGTGTTTTTAGGTAGATATACTATCTTTACATCTGGGTTTAGGTCATCAAGATACTGGGGATGGCCTGGAGCATTATCAAGCAGGAGGATAATTTTAAAAGGAATGCCCTTTTCTTGACAATAATGCTTCACTGAGGGTATGAAGCAGTGGGTGAACCAATCCTCAAATAAAGCTTGAGTCATCCATGCCTTGTTATTTGCTCGGCAGTAAACAGGCAGTGTGTTCTTTCTAACTCTGCTCAATGCACGTGGGTTTTCAGAGCGATAGATAAGCAAAGGCTTCAACTTAAACCCGGTAACATTTCCTCCCAACAACAATGTGACCCTGTCCTTAAATGCCTTAAAGCCAGGCATTGTCTTAGCTTCTTTGTGTATATAGGATCTTTCAGGAATTTTCTTCCAAAAAAGTCCAGTTTCATCCACATTGAAGATCTGTTCTGGACAGTAGCCACCTTGCTCTATGATTTTATCAAATTGGTCAACAAATTTTTCTGCTGCTTCTACATCTGCACTTGCTGCCTCACCACTGACACTCCGATTATGCAGGTTGAATCTTCGAGAAAACCGTTGAAACCATCCGTTACTTGCTGTAAAGGTTTCGGTTGAACCGCTGCGTGATTGCAAAGTCTCAAAGATATTGAGTGCCTTGGCTTGAATTATTGAAAGGTTCAATGGCATTCTTTTTTGAATCTGGTCATCAAACCAGATAGCCAGTAACTTCTCCATATCATGAATTAGGCCTTTCCGCTGTCTAGTTATTATGGCTTTAAAGCCTGTTGATGTTTTCACTGCCTCTTTTACTCTATCTTTATCCTTAAGGATTGTTGAAATGGTTGAATGTGCCAGCTGCAAGTCATGTGCTATCTCATGGACTTTTTTGCCACCTTCATAATCCTTTATGATCTTTATTTTCTTCTCAAGATCAATAGCCTTCCTTTGTTTCTTGGCATTTTCTGGTGCAACCTTGCTTTTCCTTTTTGGAGACATCTGGGGTAAAGTACAATACAGAATAAGGCACCCAGATCACACACAACTTGTATGCTTGAAGAAAAAGCTTTATAAATAGTTACACTGTACTGTACATACTGTAATGTACTATATCTGTACTGTATACAGTATTGTCACACTACTGTGCTGTATTGTGTGGGCCTGAGAGAGATCCTGGACTGTATACAGTACAGTACAGTATAGCTGTTTATAAAGTTTTTTTCTTTGCATCGCAAAAAAATACAGTAATTTACAGTACTGCTGAAATGTGAATACTGACCAGGAAACCAGCAGTACCGGACCTCAGAATAGTGTACAATTTCAGCCATGAATGATGAATGACTTTGAGATGCAGGGCCGCTACCACGTTTAGCGCGTAACCACGTTTTAGCACGTACCATCGGTGAGATGGTCGTAAGTGTGAGCGGTCGTAACGGTGAAGAGATGGTCGTAAGTGCAAGCGGTCGCTAAACAGGTAGGTCGTTAAGCGAGGAGTGTCTGTATATATAAAGAAATATAGGTCATAGCAGTCAGTCAGATTCTGTAAGCCTTATTTCTCTAGTAAAGGAGTGTGTACACGAGCATGGTTATCAAACACAGTTGATACATTTGAAAGCAATGCAGAGTAAGCACATACATTGGATGCAAAAGGCTGTTTTTGACCTGCTTTACCTGCAATGCAATCGCATCTTCAGTAGCATATGCTGCATGCATAGAAATGCAAAGTAGCTCAACTGCAGCCTCAAACCTGTCATCCACTCTGTACCATTGGGAACCTACTGATCTTTGTTTGATGTGTGTTTAAAACAAATCAAATGCTGTCAAACAATGTCCCCTGGACACAATCACAAACAGCAAGCTGTATATTGTGTACTACTGGTGTGGTTATCCTTTCAGCTTGTATGTGTAATGTCAGCAGCTAAGACACCAGCAGACTTTTCTACCAAGGTACACCTAAAGGTACAGGCACCTAGGAAGAACATTGCATTCTTAAATAGACAAATAAAAGTTGGCAAGAAAAGCATATCTATCTAATGAATAGAATGTGTATTACTGTGTGTCTCTAAGGAATTTTGTAAACTAACAATGGGCATAATATAATAAGCACTACTGCGAAACTTGAAAAAGGCAATCTACTGTAAGTGAGTTTTCAATTCCCAGGTCTTGCAGAGATGGTATCTGTTGTATAATTAAGGTAGCACAAACAAGTAAAAATGCAGATATTTTATGCAGGTTCACTATTCTAACTTACCATACAGTTCAGCCTATTTTTTAATTTTGTGTTAGTAAAATAGTAGTTGCTTGGCTATCATGCTGACCTTGCATGCAATGGGGGACATTTACTAAAACTGGAGCACTCAAAAGCTGTACATGGTAGCCAATCAGCTTCAGTGTGTTCAATTAAGCTTTGGCAATAAAACCTGGGAGCTGATTGGTTTCTATGCAGAGCTGCAAAAGATTTTGCATGCTCCAGTTTTAGTAAATCTCCCCGTTGAGTCCCTACCCTGTAACAAGTATGGAGGTAAGAACTTCTGACATTTCTCTGACTTTTCTGAACTATATATTTATTTTTGGTGAATGTCTGTGAAAGTATTAGTCATTGAGTAGGCATCACAGCTAAGCAGCTAGCATTTTCAGGAGGCCAGCAATAGTTGCCACTTCTTTCTCACTTGA